TTATATGTATATGATAATAATATTAAGAAAAGTATTAATTTTTATATTTTTTATATAAATTAATTATAAAAATATATATTTATTATATATATTATAACAAAAAAAGTACTGTATATCTAGTTTCATTTTGTAATAAATGTACATTGGAGTGAGTCCCACGAGAACATGAATTTTTTTTTTGATAAAACATGAAAAAAAATTGCTAAAAAGTAAACGCAGCCATTAAATTCTCCAACGAAAAAGAGATTAGGTATTGAATTCTCCCGCCACGTTCAAGGCCCCTACTTAACGACCCCATCGTCGACGGTTAGAATTTCCAACGCCAAATCAACATTTCGTCAAGCCTTTTTTTTCTTTTTAACAAATTAAAATTATATACATGTATTTAATGAGAACGAAAAAAGAGATTTATGAAATTTTAACACATAACCTATAAACGACCCTAACCTACCAGAATGAGCCGTTCGTGAAGTCTATTCTTATTAATTACTCACGTGGAAAGACAATTTCATAAGGAAACCTGAATGCGTAGGGGCTATATTAAATGAAAATATTTTGTAATATTTTAATCTTATATTAAAAAAAGTATAATTATGAGTAACGGATAAAAAAAAAGTAAAAATAAATTATTATTATTATTTTTATATAACTTAATTATAAAAAAATATTATTACATATTTAATCTTTATCTAAAGTACAAGTTAAAAAATCCTTATTTATATACTATTTATTCTCCATCAATTTTGTAACCGAAGCTTCTTTTCAGGTAGTCATGTACTACTTCGTATATTTGGAAGTTATAGAAGGTATTATATACGAGAATAGAGAGTGCTCTACGCAGATTCCATTGCTAATTATTGATAGATGGTAGGTCCTTGATACGTCTTTCTATTAATTGTTATAAGAAATACATTTTATATAGAATGAATTGTATTTTAGATTTTTGAAGGTATAAAACTAATTTTAAACATGCCTAATTAAAAAAAGTAAGATAAATAATCTTTCAAAAAAA